AAGTCATCTTGGACTCAACCAACGAGTTTTCTCACTTCATCGCTGCCGATTCTCTCCCCCATCCCATGGGTGCTTAGTTGCTGGCTGGGGTTAAACCACAACAACTACCACCCCAATGAGAAAGGTTGGGCTCAAAAGGGAAAGTGTACTATGTTGTTTTCCAGGGATTAGTGAGAAAATCCAAAACAGTTTTGGTAACAAATGGCATCCTTTGTCACACTTGAACCCAGGGCAGCTCTTGGGTATTATCTATGAATGGTTGCTGCCTCAGCTTCAGTCTGAAAAGCTATATAAACCCACCTTTTTTGTTGTGTTACAAACCTTTCATAGTGCTGAGGGTGAGTTTGGAGTTTCCAGAAGATTAGAAGAGACAGCTTCACCCAGACACCCATAACTGGGAAGCATTCGTGGAATGAACCTCCCACAGCCAGCTCCTGCACTACATATGGCATAAAGGGTGCGATGGGGTGTAGCCAGTGGACATGGAACGGTCTTTCCATTCCCTGTGTTAATCTGGGGAACAACAGTTGCAGACTACAGCCAACCACCAAGAGCAAACCCAAATCATTGGCATTGGCCGAATGCTGGCAAAATTAGCTCCTATAGGATAAGATAGGAAACTTGAGGGTGCTTTTATCTTTGACAGCAACCGTTTCCCTCCACCCCCCATGTTTTGACTTTAGAAACAACCACATAATAGAACAGATTTAAGTCCTAATAAAAAGTAAAGCCTTTCTCAGGTAGTCTAGGCGAAACAAGCCACATGGATAATGGCAGCCTTCAGTAGCCAACAACAGCAATGGCTTCGATTCCAGGCTGCGGCTGCTCTAACCAGATTTAGGCTTTCTTCTGGAATGCCTTTTAGGAAGGTTCAGAGATCTCAGAGGATAGGGTACTTAAGCATTTGACTTCCTTCTTTCTATTATGACCTTAATATGATGCGTTTGATATTGATGTCTTTAAATTCTTTTGGTGTTTTTTATGATGAAAGGGAAATCTCTGTATGTGAAGAGGTTACATGAGAGACTGCAAGCAGAGCAGCCTGACTATACAAAACTTCTGAAAACCATCAGACTAATTGAACCAGAAGTGGATGAGGATGAAGTGCTAAAATCTCTTCTGCCTTTTCTGAAGAGAAAACACCAGACAAAGCCCATGATATTCCACTTTGATATTACCTCTTCAGTAAGTACATCCCTCCCACAGGTGCCTTGTCCTAGAAGTCCTGTGTGGATCCTTGCAGAAGTTGTTTCTTTAAAGCTTTTGTTTCTTAGTAAGCCATTTCACTAGGACGTGTTTTCTAATTGTTGTGTAAGTAAGTAACATAAAGAACTCTTTACCATCAAGGTGGTTGAACTCTGGAACAGGTTGCCCAGAGAAGCTGTAGAGTCTCCAACCCTGGAGATATTAAAAACCTGACTGGACGTGGTCTTGGGCAACCTGCTCTAGCTGAGCCTGCTTTGAGCAGGGGGTTGGACAAGGTGCTCTGCAGAGGTCCTTTCCACCCTCAACTGTTCTATGACTCTGTGAAGTTATGATGAGTAAATAAAGAGGAAATGCGTTTGTGTCTGTTCTTGTCATAGGTACGAAGTGGAATTCCAGAGTTTCTATTCAAGCTGTTGGTTTTGCAGTATCTGACAGATAATAATGGAAATATGTGGCTGCGACAGAAATGCCATTTGTATATCATTGAAATCCTGGAGATATCACCAGTGCCAAAGAAAGCAGCAAGACATGTATGTACACAGCAATACTTGATTTCTTTGAATTTCTCAGTCGTTTTGTACATATGTTTGTATATAGCTGCACGTGAGCTGCAGAGACTATAACTGTAAACATAGTATAGGAATTCCCTGTTTGTATCAGGGTGTACCGCACATCTCCATTACAAAGTGGTGTCCCTGGTGTTGTACAAAGTGGTATTAAAACTAGACAGTAAATTATACCTGTTGTGGTTTTCTTGGGTTGGTAATTTCTGAAGGCCTCTTAGTCCAAGCCTCACTGGCCCCACTGTAATAACAGGAAACACAAAATGCAAAATCTAATCTTCCTCATGTTACTTTGCATGTTTGAAAGTACTAGAATATTTATGTGCAGCCATAAGAACAGAGTGTAGAAGTGACAGGGATAAATAACAGTTTCTTGGGTTTAGTTTTCTTTTTCTTTGATGTAGCACTGAGAAGGGGTTGGAGGTAACAAAGGACTAATGTTATGGGAAGGAGACTGTAGGAGGAAATAGGATTAATTGTTGTGATTCTCTTTAAGCAGAAAAAGTGATGCATAGAGGAAGAAGTGTCACAGTTGTATAGGCTAGCTGCTGTTACTCAGGTCTGTGATTTTAGGCAAGAATACTGTAAGAACAGATTAAATAAACTGAAGATGTTTAGGACTACAACTTTGTGATGATGTATTTTCTTTTCCTTTACTCCAGATGTCAGCGAGCCAGAAGTACAATTTCTTTGATGTATTCCCTAAAGTAACATGCAAGTCTCCCAAGGAAGTACTAGAAATGGAGACACTTGGGAACCAGTCTGGGGACGTTTCAGATCCAGGAATGGACCAGGAAGAATTTTGCAGCGAGGCTTTCCAGAGACCTTTCCAGTATCTGAAAAGATTTGACCAGGGGTGCAATCTGGACACATTCTGTTATGAAGCATGCTCTGTAGAAGGGAGTCCAGCAGAATGCCTGCAGCAGTTCCTCCTGCACTGTGGGATCACAGATCCCTCCTGGTCGGAACTCCGAAACTTCACATGGTTTCTCAATGTTCAGTTGAGAGACTGTGAAGCTTCTGTCTTTTGCAATCCTGACTTTGTCCAGGACACTTTGCAAGGTTTCAAAAAGTTTGTTGTTACCTTCATGATTTTAATGGCAAGGGATTTTGCAACACCCTCCCTAAACATTTCTGATCAAAGTTCAGAAAGGCAGTCCTTCAACCTGGAGAACATTGCAGAAGAAGATCTTCTTCCTTTCCGCATTCGGAAAAAGTGGGAGTCTGAGCCTCATCCATATTTGTTTTTCAATGAAGATCGTGTGTCCATGACATTCATTGGTTTCCACTTTCAGCCTGATGGTAGTGGCGGTGTTGATGCCGTTAATCCTTTGAATGGCAACATTATAAAGAAAAATGTCATGACTTCACGGTTGTACAAGGGCTTGTTACTCCAAAGAGTTCCCTTCAATATTCCATTTGATCAGTTGCCTCGTCATGAGAAGCTAGAGAGGCTTTGCATGGTTTTGGGGATCCCCTGGGTAATAGACCCCGATGAGACATACGAACTCACAACAGACAATGTGCTAAAAATCTTGGCTATTGAGATGCGATTCAGATGCAACATCCCAGTTGTCATCATGGGAGAAACAGGCTGTGGAAAAACCAGACTTATAAAGTTTCTGTGCAAGTTACGCAGAAGCTACGTAGAGGTGGAGAACATGAAGCTTGTAAAAGTTCATGGAGGTACTACTGCAGAGATGATTTATGCCAGGATCAAAGAAGCAGAAGCCCTTGCTAAAACCAATAAGGAGCGGCATGGGTTGGACACAGTCCTCTTTTTCGATGAAGCCAACACAACAGAGGCTGTAAGCAGCATCAAGGAAGTTCTGTGTGACCACACAGTACAGGGGAAGCCTTTGGCCTCTTGCTCTGGCTTGCAGATCATAGCAGCCTGCAACCCTTATCGTAAGCACACACCAAAGATGATTCAACGCTTGGAATTAGCTGGGTTGGGCTACCGTGTCAAAGCAGATGAGACAAAGGATAAGCTTGGATCAATTCCACTGAGACAGCTTGTGTACCGGGTCCATGCGCTCCCACCCAGCATGATCCCATTAGTGTGGGATTTTGGGCAGCTGAACAACTTAACTGAAAAAATGTATATACAACAGATTGTACAGAGGGTTACTGAACAGGTCCCAATGGAGCAGTTTGAAGCAGAGGTAATTACAGAAGTGCTTTTTGCTTCCCAGCAATACATGAGGCAGAGGGACGATGAATGCAGCTTTGTCAGCCTGCGGGATGTGGAACGTTGCATGGAAGTTTTCAAGTGGTTTCACAAGCACAGTAAACTACTGCTGAGAGAACTGGAGAAGTACCTTGCCGAGAAGAAAGCTCCAAAGAACACCTTTGAGAGAAACAATGTTATCTGGTCCTTAGTGCTGGCAGTCGGGGTCTGCTATCATGCATCCTTGGAAAAGAAGGAGGCATATAGGAGTGCTATCAGCCAGGTCCTTCCAAAACCTTATGATACCCAGAAAAAGATTTTGGAAGAAATCTCCCTGATGCAAGACTTATTCTTGAGTGGTGTGCGCCTCCGAGATACCATAGCAAGAAACTTGGCCTTGAAGGAAAATGTCTTTATGATGGTCATCTGCATTGAGTTGAAAATCCCGCTTTTTCTTGTTGGGAAGCCCGGGAGCTCCAAATCCCTTGCGAAAACCATTGTGGCTGATGCTATGCAGGGCCAAGCAGCTCATTCAGATTTGTTCAAGGACCTGAAGCAGATCCATCTAGTGTCTTTTCAGTGCAGTCCTCTCTCCACTCCAGAGGGAATCATAGGCACTTTCAAGCACTGTGCTCGATTCCAGGAAGGGAAGAACTTGGAGGAGTATGTCTCAGTGGTGGTTTTGGATGAGATTGGGCTGGCAGAAGACTCTCCCAAAATGCCCTTGAAGACTTTGCATCCACTTTTGGAAGATGGCTGCATAGATGATGTCCCTCTTCCTCACAAAAAGGTTGGCTTCATCGGGATTTCCAACTGGGCTTTGGATCCTGCTAAAATGAATCGCGGCATCTTTGTCTCACGTGGTGACCCTAGTAAAGAAGAACTCATAGAAAGTGCGAAGGGGATTTGTCGCTCAGCACGCGGGGCTTTGCAGAAGGTCGAACAGTACTTTTGTCACTTTGCAAATGCATATGAAAATATTTGTAAGGCCCAAGACAGGGAGTTCTTTGGTCTGCGTGACTACTACAGCCTCATAAAGATGCTTTTTGCCTTAGCTAAGAGCTCCAACAGTGAGCCGACACCTCAAGACATAGCTGAAGTTGTTCTTCGTAACTTTGGTGGCAAAGATGATGTCAATGCCTTGGAAATATTCACCTCACAGTTACCAGAAAAAGGAGAAGTACATGCTCATGATATCAGTAGAATTGAGCTGGTTCGACAAAACATTTACAGCAGTGGTCAGGATGGTGATTGCAGGTACCTGCTTGTGTTGACTGAGAATTATGCAGCACTGCAGATCCTCCAGCAAACTTTTTTTACTGCCCGGCAACAGCCAGAAATTATCTTTGGCTCCAGTTTCCCTAAGGACCAAGAGTATACCCAGATATGCAGGAACATCAACCGTGTGAAGGTCTGCATGGAAACTGGCCAAATGGTTGTGCTGCTCAACTTGCAAAACCTTTATGAAAGCCTCTACGATGCCCTCAATCAATACTATGTGTACCTTGCTGGCCAGAAGTATGTTGATTTGGGACTGGGCACCCACCGGGTGAAGTGCCGAGTGCACCCGAAGTTCCGTTTGATAGTCATCGAGGAGAAAGACGTGGTATATAAGCACTTTCCCATCCCACTGATCAACAGGCTGGAAAAGCACTACCTGGATATCAGTACTGTCCTGGACAAGGGGCAAAGAGAAACTGTGAAAGAGCTGAAGAAGTGGGTGCACGAGTTCACTGCAGCCAATACAGAAGAGCACTTCATAAGCAAGCAGAAATACAGCCCTTCTGACGTGTTTGTGGGCTACCACTCCAATACTTGTGCCTCAGTGGTCCTGCAGACAACGGAAAGGCTGAAAACAGCGTGTCCTGCTAGTGAACTCATGTCCTGTGTGAAGAAAGAAGCCCAGCTGGCACTGCTGAACTGTGCCACCCCGGACTCTGTGATCCGCCTCTGCAACTCAGTGGGTTTGTTTATGGCAGGTTCTCTGGCCAATATATACTTCAAGCAGCAGCAACACACGTCTTTTGCAGACTTCCTCCGAGCTCACGTCCGCGCTGGCTCTGGGTACCAAACGGTCTTTACAGAGGTGAGTACCTTGCAGCATCCTCTCAAAAACCTCCCAGCCTGCACTGAGGTTTTTGCTTTATAACTGCTGGGGCTGTATTATGGCTACACCTGAGTAAACTTGGTAACAGCCTTGCTGCTTGGCGGCCAGATGTGCAGAGGTGGGTGTTTCAGCAGGTGTGGTGTTGCATCCTGAAGAACCTAATACCTCCGCTATGTGTGAAGCAGTATTTGATGCTCCCTGTCAAGCAGGGATTTTAAGTGAGTTTGGGCAGCTGATGCATCTCTTTACTTTGAAAGTAGTTCTGTCTCCATGAACGCAGCCAGCAAAACAGGCTGCTGGCTGCAGAAAAAGTCGTCGGGAGCCTTTGAACTCTCATTTCTTTGTGTCTGCCTCTGGTCTTAAAGATACAAAAGATTTTAACCCAGCTAAGCCACAGACAGCCAGAGATCTTGCGGGCCTTTAATGGGATAGCTCTGGTTTACTTTTGCCTAGTACCAAAACTAAAGAACTTTGGCTGAGATTGGCTGGAGAATTTTTCCCTCTCCTGCCTCACATGGAAACAACACGCTTTGTTTTGGGGCTGGACTTGCTGCCCCCTGAGAGTGCTGCAGGGAAGGCGGCCTAGCAGGGAAGGCATGATACAGGAGTTCGCAAGAAGCTTCTCCAAAGCCTTGGCTGCCCCTTCTCAGCTGCCCCGCTGCCCCATCTCTGACCGCACCAAGAGTCATTGTGTCCAGCCACCCAGCAGTGGCTCTGGGTTGGTGCAACAGCCCATGTTGACCCTTTGCCTACTGGCAGGGCAAATAAATGTTTTTTTTGGGGTGCAGTCCAGCTCTGCAGCAAGTTAGCAGCATCTGGGAGCATAGATGAGTAAGTCTCTACTGCCTTTCTGCTGCATTCCTGAGCAAAGAATAAACCTGTATCTTGCACTCCCAGGTCACCACCTTCTCGAGGCTTCTCACCAGTGCTGATGCTGCTTGCCTGGAGAGAGAAGTGCAGGGTAAAGCGCAAAGGCCTCAAATTCTGTTCCTGCAGCAGTTTGACACAGAGTACTCATTCCTGAAGGCCATCCGGTGAGTCTGGTTTTGCATTATCCTGCTCTGAATAGGCTGTCATCTGGGTGGAAGATGCATGGGCAGAACATTTGGAGTAACACGTATGGAAAAGGGAGGCAAGAGGCCATGCTGTGCTGAACAGTGGCTGGCTCGGTGCAAACTATATTAGCTCCATCATACTGAGATGGGCTTTTGAAGTTAGACCATCCCTACAGGATGGGTGTTTTAATCTCTCCTTCTCCCTGCAGCAGCCAAAGCTAATGTGGAGTGACTGCTTCTACAGTCTTTAATGTTTTGTTTTTACACTTAGTGACTTCTTTTAAATCCCCTTTCACTCTTCAGAGATTTTCTTGACACCACATCAGGAAATAAAGTCCTTATTATTCAGACAGACTTTGAAGATGGCTCTCAAAATGCCCAGCTCATCGCCTCAGCCAAGTAAGTCAAGTGTGAAGTGGTTCCCAGCTAGCTGTTCTGGTTGGTGACTCCTCACCCCCATTTGATTATTAGTGCTGTTTGGGGGATTTCAGAATCAGGAATGCGTAATCCTTTGTTTATTCTGTAGTGGAATGAATCTAGAAGCACTAATTGTATTTCAAATAATAATTCATAACCCAAGTCAAAATAAACTAAGCTGAGTCAAATTACCCAATAATCCCCTTTGAAGTGTGAATTCTTGCCACTGGCTGCAGAAGTCCTGAAGAGCTGAGGATCAGGGTTATCATTTGAGGGACAGCCAGCTGGGAGGAGGGGGTGAGCGAGTCGCTTACACCTGTATGGGGGAAGAAACGTGCCCTCTTATAGAGGAAAGACTTGTGGTCATGAACTTTTGTCTGTCTTTGATCTGTCAACAGCATTTGCTCTTTGTTGTAGATACACTGTTGTTAATGAAATCAACAAGGTGGATCTGGGAGAAGTCTCTGTCTTTGTTTACTTTATTATGAAGCTTTCCCGGGTGGAAGGAGGAACGTCCTATGTGGGATTCCATGGAGGTGGGTCTGGCCATCTGTTGCTCCTCACTCTTCAACTGGCTTCAGGCAAACATACCAGAGCAGCACTTTGCTTGTTCACCTTCCTTTTTAATGCTTAAAAACTGGAATCAGTGTGTCCTGTGGGTTGTCAGAGCTGCTTCCCTTACCCACAAGGACTGTTCCTTGGGGGGTCAGTTCCTTGGAGTCCTAGTCTCCTTTATGAGAGCACCTTGCCTTGCCCACTGACAGATGAGTCCTCTTTCTAGTCAGCTGGAGAGCAGCAAACAAACGTGATGCTAACTGCATTGGCATATTGTCCTCCAGGAGGCTCCTGAGTACGTGCTTACATGTTCTGCTTTCAGCAGCAAGGCTTCTACTGCGTGTGATGGGTTCTAAGAGCCTCAAAGTAGTAGTGTGCATGCCCTGTCAGTCAGGGCAGTGTGCGTTAGCATGGTCAAAGCGAATTGCTGCTTTCCCTTTCTACATCAAGAAGTGAGAGTAAGTGAATGCTGAATGTGAACTAGTCCACAGGTACTGGGAGATAATTTTTGGGAAGCTCTTGCAGAAGAGCATGCTGCAGGCATGAAATTACTTTTTTTTTTTTTTGGTCCTCTGTCTTTAGGACTGTGGCAGTCGGTGCATATAGACGATCTCCGCAGATCCAAGGACATGATCTCTGATATGACTGCCCTGCAGAACCTCACCATCAGCCAGTTGTTCTGTGAGGATTCAGGTAAAACCAAAGGTGAGCTGCATGCTGGCTGTGCCAGCCAGTGGCGTCGATATGCCAGTGGGGAAAAGGGGAGATGTAGTCCCAGACTTGGTGCTAGTGGATCTTATGCCTGGTACAACGTATCTAATTGATTTTCCCTGCTCAGCATCTGTTTTTTGTGGAGGTCACCACATGGCTACCAACTTGTATTTGTGTTTAGTTCGTTATTGCAACTTTGGGTCATCGAAGTTAATTTGGTAGTTTTCCCTTTTTCTTTTGACAAAAATGTTGTATTTGTACTGCTCAACACCCTGAGTGCTCTGTCTCAGCACGGGAGGCAGCAGATACTGCATGGCAGAGACCACTGACAAGGAGTCACTCCAGAGAATATCTCATTTGCATGAATATAGATCTGTTCACCTAAACCTGTAGGAAGGGTAGAAAAGACTTTTTCTTCCCCCTCAGTTTTTTCTTACACTTTTTCCTTTCACCATACGGCCTTACAGGCTTCTGTTAGAGCTTAGTGCGTTAGCTCCGAGAGTCGTTTCTTCCAGTTCTTGCTGCATGAAGCTTGACAGCCCTAACAGCTGTAGGTGTGTTTAGACAGGTGGATCTCAGCCATTCGTGCAGGTGATAGTAGATCTCTGACAGATGTTCTGGTGCTCTGGGATGCAGTTGCTAAATAAATTCTTATCTGGCTGATGCAGAAGTGTACTGCTTCTTTCTAATAAAAATTCTACACCTTAGTTGTAGCTCTGCCTGTGAATGGAGAAGAACAGGGGGAAAATGAGGTGCCGGTTGAAACACCAGTGCCAGAAGCAGAGCACTGTGAGGTCAGTTCAGAATACATTTGTTTGCTTCTCAGCTGTCAATATGTCTCTCCGCTCTTTGTCATCGATAGGTGCAACACGCCTTTTGCATCCCCATTCACCTGAAATCCATCAGGAATATTATTTGCATCATGAATGTTAATGATCAGATACAAATTCCTCCCCCTGTAGCCCAATCAAAATCGGCATCATTAAAGAAGTAAACTATTCTAAGGATCCTCTAATTCCTTAGCCATTTCATTCTCCTGATTTTTAAAAATCAGTTTTAAAAGTATCTGTTGTCTTTCTACACCCTGAAGCTGAGAAATATGCTTCTGAGCCTGCCATTACAGCTGTTTGTGCTTTGACAGAGGCGTGCCTTTGAAGCCATGCTGGAGTTGGCTGTGGACTTTGCTGTGCTACAGCCATGTTAAGACTGGCTTGTGTTCCCCTGACAGCATAAGCTGGAGGATTCCCAGTATAAGACTGCATGTGCCTTTTGCCCCTCTGGTGCCTAAGCATCTCCCAGAGAGGGCATATTTTCCCTAGTCATGTTTATAATTTACACTTTTTTTCCCTGAACTACTTAATTTTCCCCCTATAGGAGTCTTATCTTAACGCAAATGCTGTGTTGCATGCCAGTTTGAAAGGGCCACAGAAGCTGCATCGTGTACTTGATAGCAAAAGAAGAACTTAGATTTGCAGCCTGAGATGAGAGGAAAACTGGAAGGTGGGATGCCAGGGGGACGGGCTTTTTCTAGAGAGCACTATAATCATTTTAAGAGGGATGTGTTGGGGGAAAGGGTGTAAAACTGCAGAGTAATGAACTTGCTTCCACGCTGTTCCTGGGAAGCGTGAAATCCTGGACACTACTGTACTCCTGAGGACCTGTGTACAAAGTGCTGTAGGGATGCTACAGGACCAAAATGAAGATCTTAGTCGAAGCAGAAAGCGAATTAAGATCCTCCTTGGCCTTCTCTCCAAAGAAGATGACTTGAAAGGTACGTGCTCCCTGGCTGCAGCGAGTAGTGTCCCTGAGCATCTAGGGGACCACCAAACCATCTAAGTTAATTCAATGGGGACCCAAAGGTCAGTGGTCCTTGCTGTAGTGTAGACAAGGTGGATCTCCCAGGCAATCTCCCGAGAGTGTGTGTGTCTGTGCTCCAGTCTGTTGCTCCTTTAGCTGACGGGTTTTCCTGGAGTTCAGATTGTGGCTTTTTCTATGGCTGTGCTAGCTCCGGTGGCTGTTTTTTTTTTCCCCCTCCGCCAATTATTGAAACAACCGTAAAATTCTATGCTTGGTGTGATATTTGGGTTTGGATGCAATGCCAGTAGAGAAAATATAAGTTCCCTGTTGTTTTCTAGCCTCTTTCCTGAAGATAACAAAGGCTCGTCTCTCCAACCTTTTGAAGAAGCAAGAAGAAAATTCCCTTCACCCAAAAAACTGGGTGCTTCGGGAGGCTTCTAACCTCAGTGCTCTCCAGGAGGCAGGCACCTTCAGGTGAGGACAGCAACAATATCTTGTAACCTGCAGGCTTCCAAGAAAAGTCTGCAAATGGCAACTGTGCAGCAGAGACAGCACTTTTGTGTAATCTGAATATTTGCAGTGTCAGTCTCCAGCCTGTGCTGGAACCTCTCCGAAGGCAGTTTTGTCCTCTCCTGGCTCCTGAGGGAGGGTGACTTACAGCTGAATGGGCTGTGCTGGGACAGGAACGCACGAATGCACAAGTGCTTTGAGTGGAACAGTGGGATTACAGGCGAGCCACGAGTGAGAGATATGTAGGGTTTTTTGGTGGTGGTATTTTTTCCCCTTAAAGGCAGGATTAGGACTTTCTCACATGCAAGTGTCAGCAATTTTTCAGGACAACCAGCTCCCAATTTGCTGATATTGTTGCTCACCTTCCCTCTGGGTTTCTCGGTCTCTTTCTGCCCCCAAAGGCACACCTTGTGGAAGCGAGTCCAGAACATGATCACTCCGTTCCTGGCTCTCCTGATTGCTGTCATAGACAGAAATGGCAATCTGGAGCTGTTGGTCAGGCCGGCAGCTGAGTGGGTGACAAACCTGTGGATGTTCATCTTCAGTGATACAAAACTTCTGACTGTCCCTTACAGTGTGGGTAAGAACAGGTGAGCCACCGGAGAGAGCAGCAGGAGGGCTTGGCTGGCAGCACTGAGACCAGTCCAGCACTGGCTTTAAATCCGCATGGGAGAGTAACACTCTTGGTTGCTCCCCTGTGCTGTGCTGAAGGCAGCAGGGCAGTTCTCGGTGACTTCAGAAGTCTGTTCTTTCTACCTTGTCCCCAGTACTCCTGGGCTTTGCTCTCTAGCTCTTGGCATGCTCACACTTCTTACCCAGCCCTTGAAGCCCCCACGTCCTGCCATTACAGCCCTTTTGCCAGGGAATGCTTACTGAGTAAGTCCTAATGCTACACAGTTGGCAGGATCAGCTGTGTTAATGAGTCCTTCAGTTCTTTCCCCTTCCCTCATCCCCTTCTAGGGCTAATTTCTTGCTTTCTGCAGCTTCCTGCCTCTGTTGTCTGAATATGTTTCCCAGGCAAAAGCCCAGTGCATTAATGACCTTTTAATCTCCTAGCTCTCAGCCAGAGGTAATTCTGGTGCAGAACAACATGACGGTGTCTGCTGATACTGGGAATGAGATGCCCTTCAGCTGGAGGATAAAAGAGTACTTGGATGAGATGTGGTTGGAAGCTCAATACCTCCAAAACACTGAAGGTGAGAGCCTTGCTTGAGCTCGTGACACAAAGCATCTCCATCCACCTGCCCTGTAAACTCTGGTTTGTTGCTACCATGCCTCTACCTTTCTGTCACCCTGGGATTTGCCTTCAATCCCTCTGTGGTCGTATGAGCCAGCAGAGCTTTGTGCAACTAGCTTTTCTTTGTGCTTCTCACTATTAGTCTTTCTCACATATCTTGTGCCCTTGTATTCAAAATGCTGTGGAAAGGCAAAGAGTTAATGACAAGATGAGATTCCATAAATGTGACACTGCTGCCTGGGCTGAGAACGCTTGGCCTCAAATCTCTTGTTAGTGCGCTGAATGAGGGGAGTGCTGTATGCATTAGTGATTAATTAGGCGTCAGTCTCTTTAGGATGGAAACTGTGCCAAACCCAGCCTCCTCCTAATATTCAGCTTTTCTCTGCATTCTCATTTTCCAGACCAAGCTGAGAAGTTTGTGGATATCTTCCAGAAAACTTCACTGGGAAAATTTATCTCTGCTCTGACTGAGGAAGAAAGGCAGATGCTCTTCCAGTGCTATATCACAGACTTTATTGTCTTGACCATTGGTGTGTCTTCCCTAGAGGAGCTGCAGGTCAGTGTCTGGAACAAGAACTGGAAACCCTTTGGATGGAGAGAAGATCATGATGCCCGTGAATATGCCATTCTGTATCAATCTTGCCTTCTCAGCCAAAATTCCCCTCTGAGACAGACTAATAGCAAGGTAGCCACAAATCAGATGCATTTGGTGCTGAATGGCTGCTGAAATTGCTGCAACCTTACTCAGAAAAGCACTTCCATAGGAGCACCTATAAAAATTGACACATCATCTAAGGCTATCTTTGTAAAGTACTGATTCTCTTCTTTCAGAGAATTTTGCCAGCATTTCCAGTACGAAATGAATTATAAAAGTTCTTTTTTTAATTTTGATTCTAACTTTCTTCTAAACTTTCAGTGTCTGCAAATTGCGTTCTTATCCTGCATAGAGGAATGGAAGGCAACATCTCCCAGAAGAGAGGAGACGGTACCATCTTTGCCTTGGGTCCACCTTGGATACAATCAGTTCAAGAGCCGCCTGCAGAACTTTTCTAGGATCCTGGCTGTACACCCCCGTGCAGTTGACTACCTTAACCAGGAAGGACATGGAATAGCACATTCAGAGATGGTAGAGTCACTACCAGGCATTTTGTGATCCTCAACCCTAGCAGAGAGCTCTGTCTTCACTGAATTCAGTGTTCAGCCTCCTTTTGATTTCAGCAACAGTAAACTGGGATGCACAAGCTCAGTCAGGATCCTCAGTATTAGGAATCATCTCCTATGTTACCACTTTTAGTAGCAGGATTTAAAATAGTTTGCCCTGCTTTCTCATCAGTTAATAGGATGTGCTAATGATCCGAGCCATGAGCATGAGAATTCCAGAGCTTAAGATAATCAAGTAGAACATTATTCAGTAGAACACATACTACAGCAAACCAGATTGAGAGCCCAAAGTTCATAAATAATTCTGAAATGCAGCTGTTGTGTTATACTTACAGCCTGTGTGTCTGTCTAGGTTTTAGATGTGTTAGCTGCAGTGGCTTGTACTGAAGAGCTGGAGCATCAAGTCCAGACAGCCCATCCAGAGATCTGGCTGCAGAAAGTGAAGAATCTTCGCATGCCTGTTGAATTTATTTGTAAAGAGAAGGATTTACAGAGGAGTGGGAGTCGGTGCCATCAGCTGCTAAAAAAACTTGAGTACGTACCACAGATCTTGATCTTTTGCCTTGCTGTTAGTAAGAATGTTAGTACGGGCTGAAAGCTGCTCTGATGCTGCTTTTCTCAGACGAAGACTTTGCAAACTTTTCCAGGTTCCTGCTAGGCTCAATTACATACCAAGCATCAAGAACCAGATTTTTTTTTTTTTCCCCCCTTGTCTCACGTAGATTCTCCTTCTAAATCTGGCAGTATCATCCAGTGCATTCCAGCTGGATTCAGGGGTTATTTAAAGCTCTCATTAGGTTCCTATTAACCAGCAATGTCTCCCCACTGCATTCCATGTGTATAAAGACTGTGAGAGATGGGGAACTTCATTGTGTTTAAGACTGAGACTTGTCTCTTGAAAGACAAGCCCAGAGAGCTACCCTGGTTTTTCTCATAGTCCTTGTTTAGTTTAACTGAAGTGAAGGAAGTGTAGTTAATGGTGATTTTTTTTTTTTTTTTTTTTTTTTTTTTTTTTTTTTTTTGTAATTACTTCCTATGATATAGAAGTTAGAGGTGTGGGAAGGTCTTTGCAGTGGTCTTAATTCTGCTGCAGCGCTGTCTACAGGACAGGCTCCTATGCCATAAGCTCACTGTGTTAGGTGCTGTTACATGCTTTGTCCTTGACAAAAAGCAGGGCTGATAACCAAAAGGGCAAAGCAAGAAGTTGCATGAGAAGTACACAAATGCTGTAGTGGTGAGCATGAAAAGCAGTGAGATCATTCGAATGACCTGATATTGCACTTCCATTCATGCTCTCAGCTCATAATTGTACTTTTTGAAATGACGCTTTCCTTCCCACAGAGTCTGCTGGAACCGGGTTTTCTCCATGTCTCTGTTTATAGAACACGTGTTGTTAGGCATCAACACTCTGATGCCAGAATTTGAGAATTTAGTGAAAAAATATACTTTGCTTCTTGCCAAGGTAAGCAAAGATGTGATTTCACCTCTTCCCTGTTTGCTTCTGCTGATCATGTGAATTTTTGTCTTAGGTATTAGAGCTGAGTCATTTAGCTTTGTCCTTTTCCTCTGCAGTGTTTTCAGCACGATTCAGACATGAAGACTCACCCAACTTTTGTTGCAGTGATGAAAGTACTGTGTGAATGTAAGGATGAAGTCAGCAACAGGCTCTACAGGTAGTGACATTGAGATAAGTTGCAGGGTCCAGTAGGAATATTGTCTATGTTGCCAGCATATTTCTGTGTGTAAGGCAGCGCTGCATACAATGTAATGAAAGGCAAATGAAGAGCAGTAACTTCCATTTTATTCTGCACCCTGAAGCTAAGCAGTTAGCCAACAGGTTTTACATTATTTCTCCTTGGTCTAGTTGCAGATGAACATCATCTTAAAGGTGTTTGGTAAGACGACATTGAAGCAATTGTGTTCATTACTGTTTCTGAATTACAGATATGGTCTGAAGTCATGTCCAATCTGCCTAGGAGAGCCGAAGGATCCAGTCTGCCTGCCTTGCTGCCATGTGTTCTGTCAGAAGTGCATCAGAACGTGGCTAGTACCAGCACAGATGCATTGTCCGTACTGCAGAGTTGCCATGGGGGATGTTCATTTAAATGTCTCCGTGGAACTCAGGTATTCCACCCTGTCCAAGGTGGAAGCATTGCAGTGGGGCTGGTTGTGTGAGGAAATTCTGATTCGCACCTCTGAAGTTGTCAACACGAGCAGAATGGGTGGAGGGAACTCTGCTCCGCTCTTGCTGGAACCAGAACAGGTCCTGTCCGTTTTCTGTTTATTGTGTCAAAAGAAGGGAGGAAGTTGCCTTGGCCCTTGTAAGAAAATTGTAGTTACAAAACCCTGTAAAGCCAAAGCACTGTCAGTGGCTGAATCAGAAAAGGGAACTGTTTGTCACCTTGAATTGCTTTGTGATAGCTTAGCAAAAAAACTCTCGGTGAATGTATCTGGCATCACATTGCCATTGGTGATCTTAGTTGTCAATGTGATACAGCCTTTGCAGACAATACTACTGACGTGTTGCACAAATCCAGCCTTTTGGACAGCTGGAAAAGTATCTCACCTTGGTGGCTTTTGCCTGTGTCTGCTTTGCTTCATCCATTATTTAAGTGGTTCTGTACTTGAACATTGTCCTAATGCTTTTTATCCTTCCCCTAGAGATGCCATAGCAAGAAATGCCCTGTTCCGGCAGAGATGCAATAATTTCTTCATAGATGTGGTCACCACCATGTGCTTCAAGGACAATGAACCCCCTGAGGCAGAGGTGATCCAAGAGCTCCTTAATCTGCTGTTTGTTCACAGAAGTCTCCTGAAAGGTTCAGGTGAGCTCCCTTCATCCTGACGCTCAGCATCATGGAGCTGATTCTCTTGCCACTTTCTCTCACCTGCCAAACTTGTCTTTTTCTTATCTCCACAGATCACCCTGCTATCTACACAAAATTTCTATCGCCATTTAATGACGAAGTGGATGAAACTCCCATCATCCGCTCAGTAATGCTGAAGCTCCTCTTGAAGTACAGGTGAGCACAGTCAGACAGTTGGTGGATGTTACAATAGGGGGTGGTTGTTTTTCCATGACCTCATCAAACCAATCTGATTGTTCTTCTCACTTCCATGCTATTCATTGAATTTGAATCATTCCAGGTGAAGTTCATCCTGTGCCTTTGTATTAGTTATGCAACTTGTCTGGCTTGCATGTAGTTTGTGTTGAAGTATCTGACCAGTCTGTGCCAAGGTTTACTTAGCTATTCTTAACCTAAACCTGTGCTGAACGTGGGTGGCTTGGGTAACTTAAAGATAGGCGACTAATTAACACGCTCTTGATCAGCAAAGCAATACTCTTCATCTGCAGACATTTAATCAAGAATGGTCTTCTGTATGCTTACACAGACCTCTCCGGTCACACTAGCTCCACCAGCCTCCCTTTGCAGTCAGTGCACAGAAAGCCATTTCTCAAGCGTGATCATCTCCTAAATCAGATGCCTAAAATAGATCAGATCGCTTATGCCCTAGAAATGCTAATTTGGCATTGTTGATGATAAAAGCCTAGCTCAGAGTGTGAAGCTAGATGACATCTGGCAAAAGGTGGCACAACTGCTTTTCCATCTTCCAGATGGATCCAGGGTGACCCCCACCTGTTACATGGATATAACTAGTAGTTTGATCATGATTTAGAGCATTAGTAGCCGTCAGTATTGCAGTTGTGGTAAGGGGGCGTTTCTCTCTCCTCTAGCTTCAATGAAGTGAAAAATGATGTGCAACACTACCTGTCCCTGGTAGAGCACAACGAGATCCTAGAGCAAAATGATAAAAAAGAACTCTACTTGCTTTTTGTCAACTGCTTGGAGGTAAGAGTGCTGGGTAGGTAAAAGCTGGGCATTAAACTGTTGCAGGAATAAAAAAGTCAAGAATAGAAATTCATCTGCAATTTTAGGCAAGTTTCTTGTGCACATAAATAGCTGCCCAAGTAGAAAGCCCAAAAGGAAGATTATATCAAATCACCTGGTCAGAACCTGCTCTCCAGTAACTAGCCTTGCTTTCCAAAGTAAGGCTTGTGTGTGTTTGCAGCATTACATAAATTATTCTTTCTCTTGGACACCTTGGACAGTCTTAAGTGTTAAGTGAGGCCCGACAGGACCCAAACTGCAGCATAGGAGTGCAGCAAGCAGGGGCTTTCTAGGTGCAGTAGTCCAAAGTTTTTTGTGTTCAAAAAACGGGTAGATGTGGCACTTCGGGACATGGTTTAGTCTAGTCTACCCTTGATTGGCTTAGAGTAGACTTGGTAGTGTAGGTTAATGGTTGGACTGGATGATCTTAAAGGGCTTTTCCAACCTAAACGATTCTATGATTCTGTGATTCTACTCTCTTGTTTTCACAGACATTTCTTTGTTTGCAGAGCTTTAGATTATTATGCTGTTTGGATTGCTCCCTTTCCTCCCCTTGCATAACTTTTAATGCTTTGGACAACTTTAAACAAACTTGACAGCAGGGTAGAGGTTTCATTTCTTACAGTTTTCATTAAAATGGTGACTTTGTAGATAAGATCAAAATTTGTATCCTCGCTAAGGGAAAGACAGGTAGAGCTTGGCATCTTGGAACATGGGACATGTGTTTCAGCATGTGTGGCCAGTCAGCATGCTTATAACAATCTCGCTCAGCTACATGCTTAGGAAATATTGGGGAGAGCTTGGGTGTGTTGCTGAAGGAGGTGTTTGGCGATGTGGCAGAGGTTTAGGATAAGCACCAGAGAGATCACAGGGAGGAGCTAATGACGTTGGGGCGGAGGGTGCTGTGAGAGACATGAAAGTTTAATGTGCTTACTGCAGTGTGGTTGCATTGGAGATATAAAGCACCATGCCAATGCACAGGACATCCGATTCAAGTGGTTCTGCCATTCATGCGATATTCTGGCCCATCTTTAGGATTCTATGTGTGAAAAGTCTGAGGGCGGCCTTGGATATGAGCATATAAACTATCTGCCTGGAGGCAGAGGCTTTCCAGCGAACTATCTCCCAAAGAACAATCAAGAAACTCCTCAGGAATCATCTGTTGAATATCTGCAGGCAGTAGCCAAGGTTCGCTTGTACCTGAGTAAGGCTGCAGAGCTGCTCTTTGACTTGCATGAGTGCACAGGTAAGTCTAATTGTTCTGCTATCGAACGGAAATGCTGCATGCAGAGCAAAGTCACCACGGGAGATGAGCTGGACGTAGTCAGCGTGCCTGTGCTATGCTGCAGTTTGTTTTGATGCATGGCCAAGAACGAGCGCATCAGCTTTTTTCTTTTCTCTTTCATTAGGAGCGTCAGTCATTATTTGTCCTCTTTACCACATATTAGCAGTGCTCTGTACCTAGTAGCAAGGCTGTGCCAGTGACCCCTAGGGTGTAGTTACATAGCGGTTGTGCCTTTGGAAGGAGATTTATTTTATCCTCCAGATGCTAACAATGAAATTTTATTTAGGACCAACTAAATTGAACTTTAATGAATAAATGAATAACGCATAAATGATGCTTCAGATACGTGACTGCTTTAAGGCTTCTTGTTTTATATGAACGAGAGCTCTGCACAGCTAAAAAGGATGAAGAGATACTTCAGAAAAATAAGTTAAAGAATTTTTGAGCTGATTTGCTGACTCGATAAAGGAGAACAGTATGTGGAGAGTCTTGGATACTTACACAGTCCGTGAAGCATCGAAGTGCGGTAACGTAACTAATTCCAAGGGACTTGTGTCCAGCCCTTGCGTCGAGGATGTCAGGCTAGCAAAATGCATCCCAGGAGATCATCCTTAGGGAGCACCATCACCTTGGCAGTTGAGACAGCGGAAAGCCATCATTGAGCAAGATGGAAGAGCTCTGAGAATGAGCTCTCTGAGAATGACCAGTAAATGGGAAGATTTGTCCCTGAGAGAAGGAAATGGAAGTAGAGTATGTCATCCTCTGTTGAAGAAATGAATCATTGCCTGAAATCCATCTGAGGAAACACTCTAGATAAGCTTCTGAGGAAGAGAGGGCTCTGAAGTGCTCCTGTGTAATTAGTCAGTACTAGTAAAAGGAGCTTGGCGCTACAGCTAGCGCTGACAGAAATGTTTTACAAGGTAGGATGTGGTTTTACCATTTTCTTTTTCCTTTTTTCCCCTCCAGAGCAAGACCAGGTAGAGGAGAAGCAGCGTTACCTGGCAAACGTGAGGGTGTTCTTTAGCCTTGCCAAGAACGACTGGCACCGTGTTTACCTAGTCCGGAAAATTGCTAGTCAGTATGGGATGGAATTTGCTCAGAAGCTTGTCACAGAGGCACAGTTTAAGTGGGTGTTCCCAGTGGAAATTCTGCACCAGGTAAAGAAGAGATGTTTCCTTGGAGATGGCTCTGGTCTCCTCTTAGTCTTCAGTTTGTGCTGCTTTGGGGTTTTTCTGCTGTTGTGTGGCTCTGGGGGACTCACCACAGTGGGAGTGGTTGTGGAGATGACTTATCTTCACTCTCTATTAAATGGAGTCTGTTACGGCAGTGAGAGGCTATTTGGGCTGCCATGCCTGCCTGCTGTCTTTCTGCAAAGGCTGAAATGCTGCAGTTCTTGGGAGGAAGAGGGGAGATTCTGCCTTGTCCAATGGCTGGTTAATGTCCACAGTGCTCACCATGGGCTGTTCCCTTTCTAGGTACAGAACAGCCAGTCTAAACACATCGATCGTTATCTGGCATGTGGCAAGAATTACGGAGTCCTACGTGATGCTGTGGGGAAAGCCATGATTGAGTGTAAGACTGAGGGTCTTCTGGAGGCAGAGAAGGTAGGGCACGCTCTCCTCACCATAATCCTGTTGTGGGCTCTGGATGGCCAGCGTTTAAGCTTTATGCATTCCTGTTGGCAGTGTCTCTTCCGGTGCAGATACCTGGGTTGCCTTTGCTTGAAAGTTACTGTGGGTTATGCTGGCAGGCACACATATGTTTGTTCTAGCATGCATGACTGAGGTTATTTCTGTTGGTTGCCTCATCTCGCTTTTCTCCCTTTGTAATCTATCGCAGCAGTTTGTATTGCAGTAAGCAATACAGGCACCTTGTAGCCAACTGACTGGAGAGTAGGCAGATAATCAAAGAAACTTTATGCCCCCTCCCTGCCAGCCCGTATCTGCCTAGCCTTGTGTCTTGCCATGCAAAAATCAAACAGGTGATTTCTGTGTAATTGTAACCTTTTTCCAATATGTAGTTTGTATATGAAAATCTTCAGGAGGAATTTTGCAAACAATGCGCCTTTGAATGTCTCTGTACCATCTATTATACACTGGTTGTGATTTTTTTTTTTTTTTTTTTTTTTCTTTTTCACTTGCGTGTTGATTTGGTTTGAATTTGAAGGCAGGCATGTACAGGTTGCTGCCTAATAAGATTGCAATTCCGACTGGATATTAGAAGAATAAAATACTTGAGAGTTTTCTGATGTAAAACCCTCAATCAGCTTGAGTGCTGTCAGATGACTCATTTATGGCTTGACCAGCCATTTCTGCACTATCCCCCTTCATGTGTGGGGAGAGCTTTCCCACAGACCTGCTGAAGCCTGCATATCCAGTAACCAGCTGAAACCTCGTCAAACTTCAGCTGTGACAGCTATAGCCTCTTCTCTGCCATATCATCAGTTCTTCTTTTCTAGGTTTCTAGCAGCTCCCCAGCTGTACAATCTGTCCATCTGCTCCTGGCTATTTTCAGAGAAGTCACTGCCCTATATGGAGTTAGTGACTCAAATCTTCATCCCAAACAGCAGGTAAGATACTTCACTTTGGAAGCTTGTGACAAACACGCTTCATTGATAAGGATGAATGAGATTTTAATCATTGGTGGAAGAGCCTTCTGTTCTTCTGCCCCAAGCAGAGTTATGTCCTGATCAGAGCAGACTGAAAATGTTTTCAAAGCAGGGGCAACGCAGCATGGGAAGCAGCTGATAGTCCTCTTCTGTTTGGTGGACAATATCATGCTGGTTTTATTTCTTTTAAATATGTGCTTTCAGCAAACACATGCTATGACTGAGTTCATCCAGAATTCCCAAGTCCTGAATTCTCCAGAGCTGCAGCAGTTTGCAGCTTCTCTTGTGATGAATGCACTGCCATCTCTGCGAGTGGATCCTCAAAGCTTCGGCCACAATGGAGCACTAATCGAAATGGCTGTTCATACCGCAGCTGTCTTGCTGTGCGGGCAGAACCCCGTCCTGCAGCCCCTGAGGAATCTGGCATTCCGTCCGCACACCATGGAGGTAAAGAGATTTAACAGTTCAGCATATGTTAGGTTAATGGTTGGACTGGATGATCTTAAAGGTCTTTTCTAGCCTAAACGATTCTATGATTCTATGATATTGCTAGTTCTTTCATGTATCTGCTGGATCCTCTATAACCTAACCTTTCTTAACATCAAAAGCACCAACTTACTGTTTTAGCTGTGAGTTACCAATATATGATTATTTCAGTGTTGTTGGCACAACAACAAGCTCTGGACTGGTGCCTTTTCAAAGCACCTCTGCATCCTGAGCAGTATCAGGCAAATACTTTTGCTGGTATTTGAGTGAGCAAGCCTAAAAGCAGTTGGCAGGACATACTGTTGCAACAATGGCTCGTGGAGCCCTAGGCTGAGTCAGGGTGCAGGGATCTGCTGCTCTGCTGCTTCTGGCTATCCAAGGCGTAAGGAAATGTGCTGGTACACACCAGCGTGCATCAGGCCACCCCAAGAGGAATCCAGTTCAGGATGTCTGCAGAGTGTGTACGCAAGGCTTAACAATATTAACAGTACTTAAGAGTGGATTTTCAAAGGTGGAATTTGAAAATGTGCATGTACATCATCTGCATGACCTCTGCTTTCAGATGTCTCTTGTTCCCCATCATGAATAAGGAACCAGTGAGCAACTGCTACAGGGAAGAACTGATTTATATATTCATCACCTTTCTTTCTTTTTCCTCCTTAGCAATCTTTTCTGCCTACAATGCCAGAAGATATAATGGCTCAGGCGAGGGCCTGGGAAGGAGTTGCCACTCTGCGCTGGTACAGTAAGTGGTCCTGACTGGCTGTGAAAGAAATTGAAGGATAATCCTTGGTTTTTGAATGAAACTGTTCCAAATGTGAGGACAGATGTGCTCCTCTTCTCAGCATGAGTTATCCTTTGTAAATGAAAATTTGGAGCTATGGTTTATGTGGGTAATGCACCAAGGTGCATCGAGCTTCTGTTTAGTCTCAAGCTTACAGCTGTTTACAAAGTTTGAGAGTGCAGAAGACCTGCCCTGTTACTTCTGGCAACGTTAAAGTGGTGTGAGCAGCAGCGGAGCACTTTGCCACCTTCCTGGCCAGCTTTCAGTTCTCTGCTTTCCACAGTAGATCGTACTGCAGACTAGGAATCCAGGGCTGGGAGCATTCGTGCTTACCAGCCCACTTGGTACTCGGCAGCAGAATCTTTCAGACTTTCATTCCTTGTTTCTCAAGGCGAGAAGCACTGAAAACTTCCTCTGGTTCCTATGTGGGTCTATCACTCCTTTGAGCTTTGGGACTGTCAGTGCTTTTGATTAGATCTTGAAGCATATTTCTTGCTCCAAGATGATGGTCCCTATGAAAGGAAATAACAGGGGCTTGATAAATGTCTGTCTTATAATACTGTCCTGTTTGTTTCTCTTTCTTGATAGTTTGTCCAAATGGCCATCCCTGCACTGTAGGAGAGGTAAGGATTTGAGACCGGTGGGTTTTTAAGCAGGTGGTGTTTTCAACAATAAACTGTTTTATTTTGTTTACTGGTTTTAATGTTCTGTTGCACAGTGGATCATTTTCTAAACTCTATATTATTAATCATTTTGCCATTGTAATGTACAATTTAGAATAGCTCTAACACAGCTTATACCATAAATCTAGGAAACAAGAGAGGCAGAGGTCCTTTGCCCAGTAACAGTTTTCGAATTAACCAGTTACAGCTTGGATTTTTGTTTCATTCTCTTTCTCTGCTGGAGAGGCTCTTACTCTGGAATTCAGTGTTCTCATTTTGCTTTTTGTTAGTGTGGCCGCCCCGTGGAAACTAGCCTCTGTGTCGACTGTGGTGCCCAAGTTGGAGGGGTACAGCATAAACCAGTGCCTGGCTTTCAAGAATTCCGGTATGCTTTGATTCATTAACCTTTTCAGTGCTAAATGATGTAGTACTTGCCTGTCATGCCTTCTGGGCAAAAGGTACCAGCCACTTCATGGTGCTACGTGAAGGGTGGCATGTGGAATTCCCCTTTAGCTTGGACTTTGGCCTCTGAGGGGAAGAGGCTCAGCTGTTAGGAGTGCTGGGATAACTCTGACTTTGCAGAAACTGCCTTAACATAAGATCTTGTCAAGCTGCTGGTTTAGGGTTTTCATCTCCCTGCTCATCTGGGCTGATATAGGCGATGTGGTTCTACACCAACATATGGTAATAGGCAGCATTTTCTTAAATGGATCAGCATGACTGAAGAACTTTTACCAGAGCTCCGGCAACTATAACTTGTACTCTCTCCTCCTCAATTCTCTGGATTAGCACTTAGAGCCCTTATGTACGAATGTTAAAGTTACTAATTCTAACAGCAGTAGTTTCTCATCTCTCCAGCACAGAGTTGGCTAATCTTGCCCTCCAGGGCTGGATGTTGCCTCTTTCGTAGAAAACTTATTAGGAAGAGATGTCCAAGGAAGAGTAATCAGCCAGCAAAACCAAATAAATTGGCTTATTTGTGTACAAAACTTACTGGAAGTCCTCGTTCCCATGTAGCACTTTTAATTGGCAGCTTTTATGGCATTCAGATGGGTCAAAAAGACACTACTGGATATCAAAGACATCTCTTGTGTGGTTTTTGTCAAGGCAAAAAAAAAAAATACTATTTATACACTTTCCAACAGGAGTAGTGAAGACAGAACTCAAACTGGCCACATACTCGGAGATGCTCAACACAGAAAAACAATGGGAGTGTCTGATCGGGCCATGTCCCCAGTTGTCTTCGTTCTGATACGCTTGCTCACACATTTGGCAATGATGCTGGGAGCCACAGAACATCCTCAGGTACCTTCCAATAATAGTTCCAAGTGGCCACATGAAATATAGTGAAACTTTTGCATGATGCTGGTCCTTTTCATCATATTGCCAAGTAACTAGGGCAGTCTTTCAAGAAGTTCACTTCCCTCCTTGCCCACGAGTGATTTTGATTCCTTCATGCACTTGCATGAACGCATATACACACATCCCTCCCTTTATTTGTTCAAGCGGTAGGAATCCTATAGGATGGAGTTGACTTTCTGGTAAGACTGTAGTTCTGCATGCCTTGTGCTCGAGCTGGACGTTATTGGCTATGCTCATTCTTGCCTTTTGTTGCTCTTTAGCCATTCCAAAACATTATCAAGCCACCGGTGCACAACTCAGTGAGTTTCCTGCAGCAGCATATTCGGGAGGACTTGGCACAGCTGACAAAAATTTTGGGGAAGAGTGTGGATGAGACTATCAACATCCTTCATCTCATCCTCAGCAGCCTCCTCAAGGACCCCCATCAGCACCCAGGCCAGTGTAAGGAAAACTACCTGCCATATCACATCTGCAAGCTATATCAGCGTTTTGAGGGCAGCAGTTATTTAGCTGCTTTGCTAATAGACCATTTCCAACAGGCAGTAGCTGAGCTGATGAGGAAGATCCAGAAATTTGAGGCTTTTTTCTTGCTGTAGGGAATGAAGAATTTCTGTCCATTTGCTTCTCTTTCGGTCAAGTATGTGGGATCTGCAAGGTTTGGTGCATAATTCTGAAAAGGAATTATTGAATAAATAACATCATAACATATTGACAGAGCTTTCTGCTCACAAGCAGAGGTACTACTCAAAGCACAATAGCTCATGCTGTGTATAATCTATATACTTTTCTGCCCTCTAAAAGACTACCAAGAAGCTATTTGGTTTAGAAGAGGGATGGCAGAGTGTGGTTCACAGTAGAATCTGGAGTTCAAGTTGACATGAGTCATTGTGTCACAGAGGGGTTTATATGTAATAACCATATTTTTTGTGTGACAGCACAAATCGGTATTCCAAACTCTGTTCTTTGGTCTGCCATTGATCGTGGTCTGACCTTGGACAACTTGTTTAACCTTTCTGGGATTATGAATGACTTGTATAAATGTCCATGTCATTCAAACGACTGACTGGACTGAAACGTCTGAAAACCCACAATCACTGTGCTGTTTTGGGTGACAGTCTCCAGCTAGACTAGGATACTCGTTTAGCTTCTAGGAGCTCTGTAATCACTCTTAGGTCATCGTGCGAACTTGCAAGGATGTCACATCTGGAAGCTAAAGGAATCTGTGCTTTCTTTTAACTGAAATATTGCAAATACGAGAGGCTAAATATTCCTGTTGCAGGGCCAGTTCAGTTTGATGATGTGCTCTCCACAAAAGAGAAGAGAAACAAATGGGAAGAAATTGTTGCAAACACAATTATTGTTCCTGAATTGGAGGTAAGAAACCTGCTGTATAAAATTTCAGTAACTGAGCAGTTCAAAATCCACTTATTTGGAAATCTGACCTGCTGTAATATCTGTGCTACACTTTTCACCCAGCTATTCCTAAAGCCAAGCCATCTATGACACAGCTGCGACTTAGCTTTAATTTGTAAGGGTCAGCCAACTTTATTCTACCTGTGGAAATGAGTATCTCGGACTAGAGTTGTGCTATGATGATTTTGTATAGCTGGAAAAGCAGAACTGTCTTAGCTCAGTTGAAAGTATTTGTTCAAGTGAGTATATGGTTGCCCCAAATGAATCCTGTCTGCCTTTTTTTCCCCACCATATACGTCATCTAAAGAATGAAAGACCTGTGAGTTAGATGAGCTGGAGAACAAAGAATAACTTTATGGTATAAACAACTGTCTTGCAGTATGTGTTCTACATGCCTTCCCTAGGAGTTCATCTGCTTTGATGTATTTCTGTGTCAATTGGTCATCAAGCTATTAGGGAAATACACTCTAGTGGAGGTTTAACATGGCAGGACACTGCCAATTCTGATATAAATTATTTTTTTTCTTTTTTTTTTTAATGCAGGATTTGGATAAAAAACTTCTGAAGTTAAATAGACAAATACAAGAGGATGAGAGAATTTCTTCCAATCCAATAGTGAAAATAGTGTATGGTGACCCAGTCACTTTCCTGTCCCAGCTGCCAAAGGACAGTCACATACATCATTCCAAGATGTGGAGCTGCCGAAAGAGAATTTCAGTGGAGAACCTGGGCCATGTAGTCCAGCAAAAGAATGCCAAGGACGCTGTCCCTCTCCTTTGGAAGTTTCTGCAGAAGGTGGGTGTGGCAGAGGGATGAGAGACTGCAATGTTCAGAGATAGGTGCACAAATCATCGACTGGTTGAGGTTGGAAGGGACCTCTGGAGGTCATCTGGTCCAACCCCCTGCTCAGGCAGGTCGCCTGCAGCCGCTTGCCCAGGACCTGTTTGCTTATACAGTGTCTTTATTCTCATAACTTTCTATAATCTTGAGAACTGCACGTGTAAATTTTTTTTTTCTTTTAAACAATTTAAAAAACTAATTCCATAAAAGTATTGAAAACTGGTTTGTCCAAGGGCAACCTTATTCATAGGCCCCCTTTCCTCTTCCAGGAAACAGAACTGAGGCTGGTTAAATTCTTACCAGAGATTCTGGCTCTGCAGAGAGACTTGGTGAGGCGATTTCAGAACACTGCTGATGTCAAGCACTGCTCGATCAGAGACTTCCTCAACGAACCCCTCTCAGGTGAGAAGGCTGTGCCAAAACTGTAATTAGTGAAACAAAAAGCGCTGGATAGTCCAGTTGAAAACGAAAGTGAAAACTTCTCTTGTGCTTGCAATCTTAAGCTCTCGTATTTTCCTTTCAAATCCCATCCAAATGAACTGGAGACCTTAACCCTGGCATTATGCTTGGAAAAGTCATCAAATGGCTTTTTAAAGAGAATTAAGCACAGGAAGATTGTTCACGAGGGGTGGGGACTGCTCAGAGATAGGCAAGATAAATCCCTGAATGGAGCAGTGGGTATATTGAATTTTTAAGCTCTGCCCTAGAGTAGGGCCTGCCTAAAAGATGGAATAGATGTCCTTCCCCTTCTATTCATGAGCAGAATACAGACGTTTGGTGGCAACTCCTTCAATTGTACTTTAGTACAATTACTTATGGTTTTAAGTACTTATGGAAAAGTACTTAAAGGTCATACAGAATCAGACCAGGGATCCGTCCAGCCTTGTAGCCTGGGCCAATAGCAGACAATAATGGAAGAATATAAACAATCAGAGCAAATGATTTGATACCATTAGAAAACTGTTTAATGTCTATTTAGTCTCTTGATCTGTTTGAGCAGTTGCCTAGAGTTCAATGTTGTGCTTTGAAAATTCTTATATTATAGAGCTTCACAGTGTTGCGAATAAAAAGCATTTCAAGGATTTGTCTTTCCGTTATTCCTCAGATGTGATGAGGGACCTGTTACAGAGGAGAGTGAATGTGTTTCTGTCTGTCTGGAACAAGCTAAGAAGCTCGCTGGACACCAGTGGTGAGCACCTTTCTTTCCCAGCACTGTTTTGAGAGTGATGGAAGCAAGAGCTTGCCAGCTGTCAGACAATACTCCTCTACTACCCTTTGACAGTTCAAGTTCCTCCCATCAGTGATGCTGAGACGTATCCTCAAAACTGACCTTGGCCGTTGTCCTGGGTTTGGCTGGGATAGAGTTAATTTTTTTCCCAGTAGCTGGCACAGTGCTGTGTTTTGGATTTAGGGTGAGAATAGTGTTGATAACACGCTGATGTTTCAGTTGTTGCTGAGCAGTGCTTACATAGAGTCAAGGCCTTTTCCTGCTTCTCGTCCTGCCCTGCCAGCGAGGAGGCTGGAGGTGCACAAGAAGCTGGGAGAGGACACGGCTGGGACAGCTGACCCAAGCTGGCCAAAGGGATATTCCAGACCCTACGGCATCATGCTGGACAAAAACAGAAGTGGGGGGATTTGGCTGGGGGGGGGCACGGCCACTGCTTGGGAGCTGGCTGGGCATCGGTCAGCGGGTGGTGAGCAATTGCATTGTGCAGCACTTGTTTTGTATATTCTTTTATAGCTATTATTATTTTCCCTTCCTTTTCTGTCCTATTAAATTGCCTTTTTCTCAACCCACGAGTTTTACCTTTTGTCTGATTCTCTCCCCCATCCCACCGGGGGGGAGTGAGCAAATGGCTGTGTGGTGTTCAGCTGCTTGCCGGGTTAAACCACCACAGCCATTAAATGTTTAAGATTATCTAGGTGCAAATGGAAGAATTTGTTTCCCTCTTGTAGTATTCTGACCTGAACTTGCTCCCTTTAGCATTTATAAGTAATGGAAATTTTTTTTGAAAGAGTGCTGCTTTTTTCGGGGTCTATACTTTCTCCTGACCTGCGTCAGCTCAGGACCACCTCAAGCAGTCTTCTCTGCCTTTTATTTCAGGGGAAATTAAGCTTCCTAAAGGCTACTGTGATGCTGACCTGACCCTCGACAGCATGCTTGAGGTCATTCTGCCACGTCGACAGGGGCTGGGCCTCTGCTCCACAGCCTTAGCCAGTTATCTCATTAGTCTGCACAATGACTTTGTCCACTCAGTGAACAAACACATCAAGGAAGATGATAGGTATGTTGCTATTCCAGCTAGGCACTTTTTTGGGCTCTGTCGTATTACCTGCTACCACACAATCAGCTTTCCCTGCTTCATAAAGGCTTCTCGCTCTAAACGTAGACTGTTTTCTCTTCTGCAGGTACTTGGTCAGTCCATCAGAAGTGGCTGACCTGCACTTGATCAGTTATGAGGTTGAGAGAGACCTGATTCCTCTGATCTTGTCCAACTGCCAGTACAGCATGGAGAAGGGCGGGGAGACGTTGCAGGACTTTGATCTGGAGAGGATCCAGCAGCAAGTCATCAGCAAGTTCCTGCAGGGCAAACCACTCATCACTCTAACGGTAGGAGAAAGCAGCTAGCTGTGTTTTCTGCAGACAACTTCTTGGCTGATGTTGGAGCCCTGCAGTGTTTGCTGCAGTCAGGCATGCACTGTAGCAGGGCTAGCAATGTTACCAAAGCTTTACAAGCATGGGTTTCTCTCCTGACAGGGGATACCTACCCTTGTGTACAGACATGATCGGAATTATGAACAGCTGTTTAATGATGTCAGGAATAAGCTGGATCAGGTGGGTGTCTGCATTGGATGAAACGGGGCAAGCATGTGACCCCTGGCATCCCAAGAAACGTCAGGCTTGTCTTCTGTCGCTTGTCTTGTTCACCTGCTCTGAACGCTTGTCCGCTAATCTCTTGGCATGCCTGGAATATGTGCAAACTGGGCGTCTTTTGCCAGTCAGGATTTACAAAGGAAGGGAATATAGTTAAGCATTTTCAGTTTCCTAAATCTGCATCTCTGTCGTGTTCAATGACTTTAGCAACTTGAGCAGCGATAAGGAATGGCTCTGAACTAATATTAGCAACTGCTTTGACTTCATGGTTTTCAGAGTGCTCTCCCCAGTTCTGTGATGAACATGATCAGTGGGGAGCTACAGTCTTACAGTGATGTCTGTGATGCTCTGTCCATCACTGAAATTACCTTGGGATTCCTGGCCAAGGCTGGAGAGAATGCTGAAATGCTTCTGACTGACTACATAGAAAAAATTCTGCAGATGGGTGATCAGACAAACCCTCATGTACTGCAGGTGAGTCCTAAGAGCAAAGCTCTTATTCTTACAGGATAAAATCTGCACTGGTTTATACTAAATCCATCCAACCTGATCTCCAAGCCCAGCAAAAGTTCAGCTCGAAAAAAGCATGTGATAGAATTCCCTCCCCACCATATTCAGAAGCCGGGGGGGGAACCATTTTCACTTCCCCTGCAACCAGTGTTTGCAAGGTGGGAGCATCTAATAGCTTGTGATGCTCAGCAGGTTCTTGCAAAACCCTGCAGAAAGGTCAGATGCGGGATGTGCAGAAGGTTGAACTCCTCTGTGCAGATCCAAGTTCTTCTGTCAGCACCAGGAAGGAGAATTCTTGGTTGAGTGTCAGCATAATTAGTTGCAATGCTAAAACTGAGAAAAGGGAGAAATTTCAATTATGAGCCAGCTTTCAGTGACACTGGCTTGCCTGGTGCTGAGAAGGATTGAAAATACCCCTTAACCTCTGAAAAGTCACGATAGGGGAAGGTTTTATCTCCTAAAGGTATGTGAAAAGAGGCCCCTTACTGACAGGGGGCAAAGGCGCTACGTTATGACAAGTATGTGTGAGATAGCCCTATTGCTTTCCCACTCCCTTTCATGATACCAAAAAGATGGATTATTGGAGGTGAAGAGGGAGAGAGAAGCCTATTGCAGGTGGGCTTCTACACCCAAGTTAAAAGGGCTCGATGAACTCCCTGCGGTTGTGCTTCTCTGCGGTTTTGACCTGGCTGGGCAGGGCAGGGTGTGGACAGGTTCCTAAATACATCCCTTACATCCATGTGTGTTTTCTTTCAGGCCTTTAGACGATGCCACCTAAAGCACATCATAGCCCTATGGCAACTTCTCTCTACCCACAAATCTGAGCAGCTTCTGCGCCTCAAAAGGGTAAGGTACACTGATAACTTCAGTGTCTAATCAGCAGTTTCTTCTTCTCTAAATGAAGTTACTCAAATGTATATGGTTGGTTGTGTGTGGTTTGTTTTTTTTTTCCCCTCGCTGCATTTTTAGGATCCTTTTGTAGGCGTCAGTACAGTCTACAAAGCTGAGCTCAGTCCAGAGATTGCCAAGCTCCTCAACGCCTTCCTTGTCCACTCAAGGCTGGAAACTTTCCTGCAGGAGCTCCATGAAGTGATCGTCCTGAAGCTGAGACGTGTCCAAGCTGAGAATGAATTCAGACCCATGTGGAGGTAACAGCCCAAACCAACCCACAGTTGTTGTTAATAACTTAAGCTTCTCCGCCTCTGAAAACGCATGCGATGGCACCGCTTCCCCTGGCAAATGACTGCCCTGCTGCCCACAAAGCACAACCGTCAACATTAAGAATATGCAGCTAGTTCTAAGAGACACTGCCTGTTTCTGGCATGTATGACTCTGCTTCATCTTGCACAGGCTGTTTTGGGAGCGCTGCTGGAATATACCAGGAGCTGCTGTTCATGAGCATTAAACACAAGCACTTCTGCAGTCACTCAGATGAGCACGCTCAGCTTTCCACACACACAGCTTGGCCCTCACCGCTTGGTTCTGACCTGCAGCCTCCCGTTCCTGGGTTCTTTTAGGGTTCTATAAATCTGACGGGCTGTTTAATCCTTCTCACCGCAAAATGCGCGTGTGTAAGACTCTGTGTACTTTGGTGCATTCCAACCACACAAAATATTATGCGGCATTTGTAGTTTGCTGTATGCCATCTATTAATACTACTTTTGCTCTTTGTTTTCCAGCCTGAAGGAATCGCTCATTCCTTACCTTGATGCAAAAGACTCTGAGTTAGCTACAGAGCTGGAAGAGATGTTCCCGGATGAGATTCTTCTCTCTCACGCTACCGCTACATGGAAAGCAGCCGCCCTCTTCAAAAGGGAGCGTAGGTAAAGCTAGGAGCACTAGCGCTAGTCTGTCCTTCCTCCTACCCAGGGAATTTTAGTGCCACAGACACAGGGTGTTGGTGAGCTTCTGGAAGCTCAGGGGGGTGGTTTTTTGGGCTTGTTTTTGGGTTTGAGGGGTTTTGTTTTTTTTTTTTTTAACTAACTTAATACCAGAAGAATGAAGCAAAGCAGAAGGATGGCGGAGGAACAGAAGGCTGTATGTGTGAGCAGGGACTTCTCAAGGCACCATTAAAAAAAGACCAAAACCCTAAAGCCACCTGATGAAGATGACTGATGAAGATGAAGGATTTTCTCTTTTTTTTTGATGTAAAACAGATTTCTGTGCTCATTGTGGAAATCCCAGCTTTTTTTTTTTTTTTTTTTTTCTTTTTTGCAGTCTGCATTTCTCTTACTTGTCCCCAAGCTGCAGACCGGGCTCTTTCTCCCAGCCGCCTCCTCCTTGCTGCTCCGGTACCGCAGCTGGGCCGCTGCCCTCGCTCCGTTCCCTCGGGGAGTTGGGACCAAGTTGGAAAAAAACCAACC